TAAGAACCAACCTGAAGGATAACACCCTCAGTAAGAGAGAACTTTTAGAACTTCAAAATGGCGAAAAGCGCTAGTGATGATCTCACCATAGAAGTACGCTAGGTTCCAAAAGCTCTACCTTTCCGAGAGCTTTGGATCATCCGAGATTCTTTTCAAAGTTGGTCCAACCCTCGTCAAACAATGACTACTTTCGAAAATTCCATAAGTTTGACCCTAAATCGATCCACTTCTTAGACTTGAAAAGTGTTTGCCCGACGTCACTCTCTGAATCCCACTCGTCCTGATAGAAATCATTGGGAACCCTACCTTTATATAGAAACCTGTAGGAATCGCTAACTGAACGAAACGAAATCCGCATCCCTTTAAGTGAAAGTTGTTGGAACGCCAAGCGAAGGACAGAGTTCACATGGGAGCATGAGGAACAACTAAATAGGAAGTAACATCATCTCTTTACTCGATTGTTCATGCCTACTTCCTTGCCTAAACTCAAATTTCGGGACGAAATTCCCTCTAACGGGGGGATGATGTGACAACCCAAAATTTCCTTTAGTTTTAACGACGTAATTAATTAAGTCAAAAATTAGCCAAATTTATCCCAAAAATACTTTTGGCCGGATTTAAGCCCGTTGGAATATTTTAAATAATATTCGTCAAGCGAAACAAAAATAAGAAGGTATAATTTAAAACTTGCCATGTTTAACGGAAGTCGCGAAAAACCCCGTTTGCGGTTAGTGTTGGGTGGACCCCCACCCAGACTTTAAACTCCACCCTATATAAGGGTTGAGTGGGTTTCATCCCAACCTTTTCACACCTTAGACATTTCCTCTCTCTACTTTCTCTCTCTACAAGTCGGGTTTTGGTCAAAAATCACCCCTTCGAGCTTCAAAACGGTAAGCTAACCTTCCTAGCTTGTTGTTTAGCTCATCACACTTGCAAATTCGTGGATTAAACATCCAAAAAACCCCAAGAACAAGAGTTTACGTTTTTGGAACATCCCAAAACCGTAAACACCTTGAAAGAGGGTTTTGATGCCCAAAAGCTTTCCAAACCACTTCTAATGCTTAGTTATGACTTAGGGGCTTGCATGAAAGGAATTAGAACACCAAAATCTCGATTTTTGGGGATTAAACATGAGTTTATGACCCAATAACATTCTTGGACCGTAAACCCACCTTCAAGGACCGTAAACACCTTCCCACGGTGTTTAAGTCCCTTTAACACCTTCCTATGCTCATAAAAGTGACTAGAACCTTGCCTACATAGCCTAGAACCACCAAAGCACAAAGGAAATGAACAAACATGATTTTACGACCGTAAACTCATGTGTTTACGGCCGTAAACTCCCAAGGGAGTGGTCCAAGGACCGTAAACTCCATAAAGTGTCCCTTTTGAGCCCCAAATCACTTCCATAACCCTTGAATCAACTCTAGAACCCTTATTTGTCAAACATGAAGCCTTAAAGCACACAAATTCACCATTCCCATGAGTTTACGGTCGTAAACTCATGGGGGATATGGTTCCAAAACCGTAAACACCCTTAGACACTACTATTTGAGGAGTAAACTCCAAGGTGAGTCCATACACACCTTATATGCAACCCTTGGTACTCCTAGCACTTGTAGCAAAGTGTTTTTATGTAGTAGGACATCTTTACTTGCTTAATTAGTTATTAAATGACTAATTGGATACTTAAATGTATCATTACATGTTAAATAGGATTCACGTGTGTGGTGAAGTCCTCACTTGACACTTAGCACCCTATACCGTCCATTCATCTGAATCGCTCACGACAGGTGAGTTCATACCCCTAAATTAACCTTTTAAATGATTTTAACTACTTTTATAGGGGGAATACAAGTTGAACTATACAGTTATTAGATAAATCGCATGTGATTAAGAATTGTATAGCAAACTAGACTTTTGCATGTTAACTGTTTTAATCAAATTAAGATTTTCAAATCATGTGTTCAAATCCTGTTAAAGTATGAATATCTCTTTTTAGATCATTAAAGGTTATCCAAAGTTTTCCAAAGTATGTTGCTAAAGAGACATCCAGTGTAATGACTATTTAAAGGTTTTCTTCACTAAAACTGTTTTATAAAAACCCTTTTCAAAGCTTGTTTTTCAAAATGACATCAATTCGTAAATTTCTTAAGTATTATGTTTTACCAAAGTTTTCTTCTATGCTTTTATTTCTTAAATGCATGTCTATATTTGTATAGTTATATAAATAATGTTTAAAGGACTTAGGAAGGCTTCACCCTATTTCTTTTCCTCGTTGGGATGTGGTCTGGTGGGTATCGGATATCCGTCCGAAGGTTGTTTAAACATTAATTATATATCATGTATACATATATAGACATAAAAGCTCTCTCTCTCTCTCTCTCTCTCTCTCACACACACACACACAGTCGATTCATCGCCTTGAGTAGTGCAGGCATCCTTCTATTGTTCATGTTTCTAGAACCCTAGTAACTATTATAGGAATAGTTAGGAGTATCTATCTCTATCTCTATCTCTATCTCTATCTTTATCTCTATCTCTGTCTCTATCTCTATGTTTATCTCTACTTCTCTATCTATCTCTCTCTCTTTCTTTAGAATGTGACACACCATTTCCTCTACGATGCTTTGTTGTTACGTCAACGACGTGTAACCAGAGTCTCCGGGAAGGAGAGCGAACATCATGTGTATAGATCTATACGGGACTGACACTCCCACACCCAGACTACTAGCTACAGTCCGCACCAGTAAGTCCCATGGGTGTCATAATGCCACTACCTCTATTGCCACTACCTCTACGCGTGACCTGGAGGGTCATCGGATACTCTATTGTCAATCAGCATGGTTACATTTGAGTTCACATTCACCCTTTTGTTTTAGATTTTGCAAGCGGTATCGTTCCCTCGATGTTGTCTGGATTTTTGTGCTTATTTTATTAGACTGAGCCAGACGTATCAATTATTCGATATTCTCTTGGAGTCTATGTTTTCAATTTCTTTTAGTCAGCAATATTACTGCTGAAGTACACTTTATTTTCCCCTAGTATTTCTACTTGTGTTTTTCCTACTTTTCCTTTAAAGTCAATACTGTATTTAGTAAGGATCGTATTTTGGGGAAAATTTCACTTTAAAACATAAATCTATCAAGTCTTGGTAGAAGACTTCTTTTATTTAGAAAATATAGGATTTTCTGGAAAGGACACTAATACACTATAGATTCTAAACTACTATCTTTCATAAAGTTAATTTGAATAAATATGCGTATTTATACAAATGACACTAAATACTTATGAACTCACCAGCATTATAAAAATGTTGATACTCGCTTTCAAAATAACTTGTATTCTCAGGTCATCGATAGACAGGTACATCCCCGGAGCAATTGCAGAGACAGCCTAGTACCTAGCTGCATCTATATTATTTCTTGTATTACTTTGATGTTGCTATGAAATGTAAACTATGTAAAACTATTACTATTAATGCAATTGTTGTTGTACTTTGATTACTATACTGCATATGTTGTGATACTTGACATGACGTCATCTATCCCAGAACGTTTCCGTCGTTCCGGTTTTGGGGTGTGACATTTTAACCCAAAAAAACACGCTTTTGTTCTATCGGCGCCACCATTCATGCACTTCCCACCCTCGAAGCCTCCCACCAGTCTTCGTTCGTTCTTGCCTCGCTCCAACACCAGCTTTCGTCGTTCCTCCTTCGATCAGAACCGCCGCCTACCGCCACCCTTACAACTTCCTCTCCGGTCGCTAGCTTCTCGGTACTTCAAATCGATCGTATCCTCAAAATCGACAGCCCCTCCACTGCTGGTCTTCTTCAGCTCATCTCCTCTCGTCGCTGCTGTCTAGACCAGGCGCACCACTGTCTCCATCAGACCACCGGCTCCAGCAGACCACTCGCCGGATTCTCAGTTGAAAACGCAAACAAACAGGTCAGAAAAATCTCTCCTGTTTCTGGTTTTTTTCTTGTTTTAATACGAAACTAAAGATTATTTTTTGTCTCCATTTTATTGAAATTTGTTGAAACACAATATTTTTTTATGTATATTGTTGGAAATTTGAAATGTTGATGTGTATGTGTTATTTTTTGCTGAAATAATGATGTTTATGTGTTGTTTTGTGCTGAAAATGTCAATAATGATGTTCAAATATTGTTTTTTGCTAAAAATGCGAAATAATGATGTTTATCTTTTTTTGTTACTAAAATAATAAAATAATGGTGTTTATTTGTGGGTTTTTTTGCTGAAAATGTAAGATCATGATGTATATGTGTAGTTTTTGTTTTTTTTTTTTTTTTGTGAAAATGACTTTTTGTTTATGTTTATGACATGAAATCATAATATATGTTTGTTGAAAAATCATTTTAAGTTTGTAAAATCAATTTATTTAAAATTAAATTTATTTGAGCAGACTGTAGCCATTAAAAAACAAACAGAATCTAATTGCAGATTGCAAACGTTTGGTTCACCTTTTCTGCTGTAGAAACTTACAAATGTAATCCGCAAACTACCGACATTATAACTTAAGAAAAGAAAAAAAAAAACCATTACATCAATCTATATGAGTTGCAAATCCTAATCATAAGCTAGAAAATAAGAAAACTAAATGAAAAATGAACAACGTGCAAATAAACCGAACTAGAAATTAGCTCGACACCCGATACAACGTACTTATTCCTCATAACTGGCCGAACGCTTAATTATTCTTTTGGGTCTAGAATTTGCCAATGATTGTTCCTATTGTTGGATTGTTGCTTCATTCACGGTGTGTTTGACTTATTTTTTGAGGAGCTAAAAGTTCTTTTTGAAAAAAATAAAATGCAAAAGATGTTTGGTAAAACCATTTTAAAAACTACTTTTTGATTTTTTATATAAGGAAAATTGACTTTTTGGAAAAATCAAGAAATGCTATCTTTTTGTAACTTTTGCCAAAAGGATTTTTGGCTCCCAAAAAAAAACAAGCCAAACACTAATTAAATGAGAATCAAGGAAACCTCTTGGGGTTGAGGATGTAGCCCTTTGTGTGTACCCAGAGACATGAAAAATATTTGGATACAAAATTGTAAGCTGCCTTTTAACCACCAAATGTACAGTATACTTATACCTCAATCCCGACTAAAAAAACAAGACAAACACACTATAACAACAACCAAATCAGGTGCCAACATCGCCACGTCATCCTAGTCCTAACAATCATAACCAAAAAAAAAAAAACTACCTTCCACCAAATCAATATTTTCTCAACAAACCCACAAATAATCATCAAAAATCACATCCATCACTGGGATTGATGAGGGTGTGCATAAAACGGAGGAAGTGGCCGGAAAGCTGGCGGTTGCTGAGGCGGCATCGGCTGCTGGTGGGTCATCTGCATAGGAAGCATCGGACTCATCATATAAGCCGGTGGTGGTGGTGGCGGCGGAGGGCCACCACTATATGTATAGGATGTCACAATCCCACTGGAGGGTTGGAGATATTGTTGTGTATGGTATTGAGGTTGGGAGGGTATTAAAACCGCTTGGTATGGGGTGCTTGCCGCCATTTGTGGCGGCATAAAGTGGTTGTGATCGGAGGGAAGTGGTGGTGATTCTGGTTGTGAAACGGAATTGTTGTTTGTAAGTTCGGCTGCAAATGAAGAAAGGACAGATGACATGATGTATTGGGAGGAGGTGGAGGCAGCAAGGCGGTCAGCAACTTCCGCAGCTATATCAGCGGCGGACTTTTTAGATCCCGCAGCAGCAGGTGGCGGTGGAGTGGTGGTGGCGGTGGAAGATGTTGGCGGTGTGGCGGTGGTTTGTTTTGTTTCCGCCACATAGTTTATATCATCTAGCCGCTTCCGCATAGCTTCCGCTTCCTGTGTCTGTGCTTGTGCCACCTGAACAAGTGAAAATACATTGTTATTTTTTGCATTTAACAAAAATAAATAAATAAATAAAAAGATGTGTAATTGAGTAACACAAACCTGCATTTGAGTGCGAACATTCTCCAACTCGGATTCCTGAAAGTATAATATGTAACAAGAAAAGATAATATTCACATTAAAAAATAATGAAATTCAAATTTTGAATTTTGAATTTTGAATTTTGAATTTTGAAAGAGTAATACAATACCTGATCATTGAGTGCATCACGCAACTGAGAAACAAGGGCTAATCTATTTGCTTCAACAACTTTAAGTTTCTCAATGCACTGCTTCAAAAGATTTTCTTCTTCTTCCAATTCTTTAGACAAAGTCTTCCTCTTTGGATCCTTTGCTGCATTTTAAGTAAACACCATTAAAAATGTGCTTATGTCACAAGGTAATTTTTTAACTTTAATTTTAAGTTTTAACCTGGACAAGACATGACATAACAAGTCGACTCATACTATATCACAAGATATGATATGACATGACAAAACAAGGTTGTACTGCATTATAGGACAGACATGACATGACAAGGTGAGACAAGGGACTCACTCTCGATCTCTCATATGTGAAAGGACGAAAATGCCCTTGTCGTCGTCGTCATTCAATATATATGTAGAAAGATGCAAGTGATTTTTTATTAGCATCATTAGCTTACCATTCGTTAACGCCGAATCAATATCTTTTTCCAAGTTCTTAACACGGTGAACAGAAGATTTGCATTTATTCATTTCTTCGTCTTCGCCATGGTGTTCACTGACAACTAAATGAAAAGCTGAGACAATTCTCTCTGATGTACTTCCAATCGTCAATTTCTGATCCCAAAAGTAATAATATGTCAGTATTTGGAACGACTGATACTGATATTGATACTGATACCAATACCAATACTATACTTGATACTGACGTCAATGGGACAAAAAATTTGAACTTTCATTGAAAAGACGTAAATGCCCTCGTCGTTCTAATTATTGAAAATAACTTTAGAAAGCTTGTCAAGTGTCATCTAGTCCAATCTGTGTAACAAAAAGACGTAAATGCCCTCCGTATCCTTACCGTTCTTATGGATCTTGAATCTCTCTTAACAATTTTAACAGAGCGAGGACGTTTTTTGGTGAACTCAAGGGGTTGAGGCGATTCAATTCCAAGCAAGACATCTTTTATGTTCTTTGCATGAGATCCAAACACTTTCCTTTGTTCCCAAATATCAACCTACCATTCACATATACATTGAATTATTAAAAAAATTCAAAACTAGTTTTACAGGATACCAATTTGATGATTGGACATGTTAAGCATTGTATTTTCAATATTCTTATTAGGACATTATACATTGCTAAAATTTGGTAGGTTTAAGAAACAAAAGTATGATGCTATAATAAACAAATTGATAAAAGTACATTGATATTTCTTTCATTTAAACAATAGTAATACATACCAATCTGTTGACAACTTGTCTTCCATGATCATCGGCTTTTTCAATAAGATCTTTGAGAGCTCCTGGGAGGACCTTCCAGAACTCAAATACAAATTCATTTCCTTTTTTTCTGCTATTTTGAAGGATATCATTTGCAAGATAAAGAAGAGGAACCTTCTGAGCCACTTCAGAACTCTGAAGCAGTTTCTCCCATGTCTTAACAACAACTTCTGCTTTGCTTCGGTGAAATATACACCAATGAGACAATGCTATACACAGTCAAGATAACAAGATGTAACAGAAAACTATCATGCAAATAACAATAAAGAGAGAAAGTTAGAGAAAGAAGGCTTTCTTATAAAGTTCTAACATTTTACAAACTTGCCCTCGTTTGTTTTAAACATCATTGATCCTTCTCCTAAACCACATACTCACTTTTCATCAAGGAGCAAATTTCTAGCTTCTCACTATATCTCAAATGTAAAGAATCAACAAAACTTAGGTATATATAATGCATTTGTACATACCATTTTACAAGAATTGCACATTTTTATTTGGGGATATCAAGCAAGAATTGCAAAGTTTCCTTCACTAAAATCTATTTTGAGCCAAGTTACATGTTCTTCCCACTACACCAGTCATTATCAAAGTAGTGAAAAAAATTTATACAAAGATTTTCATCTGATCCAACTGGGAAGGATGAGTAGAAGAATGGATGTTCAACTTTGGGCAAACTTAGCCTTTTAGGTATTCCCAAATAGAATACGAAAACTACTACGAAATTAGATGCAAGTGTCTAAAGGTGTAAGCGAAACTTGACTAATAAGCACTCTAATGAGTGATCTATAAGCTGCGCAGCCAGAGATATTCATAATTAAACAAATACCGATCTGTTTTACAACGACTAGTTTTCGTGCATACAATGAGCCACATTCAAGATCAAAGGAAAATTGCAAACTACAGCTACCAGATACAATCAATTGGAAGAAGAAATGAATGCAAACTGTAGCAAGGAATATGATAAACTGATAGAAAACCATATAAGAAGGATACTTTCAATACACTGCTGTGTGCTGTTAAGCTTCGATAGCTTGTCTGCAAGTATCTGTTCGCTGAACACACTATTCATCCCACTTCAAATACAAAAGTTGTGCATGTACCATGCACCGGAAATCAAACAATTGAACTCCCAAAAGGTTTAATCAATCCAATTCTCAAAGAAAAAGTAGTAATCAAAGTCAGCACTTTAAACCCTAGAATCCGAAATATGAAAATGCCAACAAAAATAGGAAGAATCGGGGGATTTGATTTGGAACAATTGGAAAGAAAAAAGAAAGCCCTAGGACCAGCGTCAGCCAAGAAAAACGATGGACGAATCGAGATTGCGACACGAGCGAATAGGGCTTTTTAAATTGCGAGAGGTTCTTGAGCTGTTTGACGAAAATAAAGAATATACTATATAGCTTCAAAAAAAAATGTAGTGGTTTGAAGAAATTAAATGTTTTGGTACATTGAATAATTTTGGTAAAATTATTGAACTGAAAAAAGCATTTCAATCTTGGAAAATATCAATTTAGTCATACAAACTATTCTCTCTTTTTTTTTTTTTTTTTTTAAGAGGATATATTCAACTTTTCGGTTTGTTCACATCTGAAAAACTATATTTTTTTATGCATCTAATTAACGAAATTTTTAGAAGTATTCACATATGACCATTATGATCTGCTATACCAGGTTACATCCGGTCATAATGGTTATATATGAACACTTTTAACAAGTTCGTGATGTAAACAAAAAAAATATATATTATTACCCAAATATAAATAAAATGAAAAGTAAGAGTAATTACACAAATGGTCCACGTGGTTTGGGTGAATTTGTGTGTTTGGTCCTTAACTTATTTTTTTTAATTCGGATGGTCCTTACTGTTTAATTTTACTTTTTTTGCACGTTTGGTTCCTATCTTACCTAAAAAGACTATTGTACCCTTATTAATTTATTTTTTAATTAATTTTCTTATTTTTATATTTAAAAAAATTAATAGACCTCACATATCTGTATCTCTTCACCTTAACTTGAAACCACATTTGAGAAATTAAATCTGGTTCCCATCGGTCATCAACCCATCTCCTATCCTCCATAACTTCTATTTCATTTTCATCTTTAGTGACATCAACGTCTTTATCATCTTTTCATTTTTCGGTCCTTCAACTTCAACGAACCAACACCTCAAAAGATGGAAATGAAATAAAAGTTGTGATGCATTAGGTTGTGGTGGTGGAAAATCCAGTGAAGTGACAATGGATTATGGTATTGGTTCGCCGAAGTTGAAGGACCGTAAAAACAATGGATAGTGAAGATGTCGATGTCACTAAAGATGTAAAGGAAATAGAAGTTGGGGAAGATGATAAATGGGATGGTAACCGATGGGACCCATATTAAAATTTTCAAATGTAGTTTCAGGTTTAGGATGAGGAGATACAGATATGTGGGGTTTATTAATTTTTTAAATATATAAAAAATAAATATATAAATAAGAAAATTAATTAAAAAATAAACTAATAAGAGCATAATAGTCTTTTTAGGTAAGAAATGGACCAAGCACACAACAAAAATAAACAGTAGGGATCATCCGAGTTTAAAAAAAAATAAGTTGGGGACCAAACATACAAATTCCCCCAAACCACAAGGACCATTCGTGTAATTTACTCTTACTTTCTGTTTTGTTCATATTTGGGTAACTATTTTTTTACACGCATCTAGGTAACGAACTTGTTGAAAGTGTTCACATATGACCATTATGACTGGATGTAACCTGCTACAACATGTCATAATGGTTATATTTGAAAACTTTCAAAAAGTTCATTACCTAGATGTGTACAAAAGAAAAAGTTACCCAGATGTAAACAAATCGAAAAGTTAATTAATTAATAAGTCATATTCTCTTTTTTTAAAGGTCACTAATCTTTTTTTTTTGTATTCTAGTTCGTTAAACTTGTTGGCAACTTGTTAATTACACCATTTTATCCGATTTTTGTAGATTGTCAAGCTGACTTGCCATTTTACATGACAAATTGGAATCATGTGAAAAAAAACACTATAACATCCCAAAATTCAAGCCCAAAATTTTTGTTTTCTTTTTAGATTATAACATAAAAATCATCGATATAAAAACGTTCATAATTATATCTCATGTCACAACCAATATGTCGATAATCCAAACATGTCACCATAAAAACCATTTTGTCCAAAAGTAAAATAATTCAGAGTAGACTCTCAGGAAGCTCCATGCGGAAAACATGTGTGTGTGTGTGATGCGCTGCTACACCGCCGGCTCCTTCCCCTTAGACGAAGAGATACCTGAAACCAAAACTGAAACTGTAAGCACGAAGCTTAGTGAGTTCCCCCACCATACCCATAGCACATAGTCATCGGTATCTTTCAACCGGTAACCGGGAGCTACCGTCCCCTTCGGTATCTTTCAACCGGTAGTCGGGAACTACCCTCCCCTTCGGTATCTTCTAACCGGTAGCCGGTAACCATCCTCCCTTTCGGTATCTTTCAACTGATAACCGGGAGCTACTCTGCCCTTCGGTATCTTTCAACCGGTATCTGGGAACTAACCTCCCCTTCGGTATCTTTCCACCGATAACTGGGGACTATTTCACCCCTACCCCTATCACATATTACATGTCATAACATATTGGTTTCATGATAACATACATAGACATACTGAGTCACATAACAACATATCATAAGCATACAACTATACATGTGTGGGTTTGTCCACCCCTTCGGTATCTTTCAACTAGTAACCGTCTTCGGTATCTTTCAACCGGTAACCAGGGGCTAGCGTGCCCTACTACTACTATCACATAATCAGAACAGATATAGCAACCAGACAATTATCACAAAGATAACCATCTTACCCATAATCTCCTGCTGGTGAGCCGGCATTGGTGTCGTAGACCCACCCCTACTGGAAGGTAACTCGCCTCGTAAGGTTGACTGCTGAAAAGCTGATCGACAGATGTCCAGCTGTTGCTCCGATGATCCTCCGGCTATAATTCCCATAAAACACTTAGTCAGACACTATAACTATTCTTATGGTAAAATGACTATTTTACCCCTAACCAAGTCAAAGTCAATGTCAACTTCCAGTTGACCTGACTCACTGAGTTGGGTCTCCAACTCGTAGAGCCCCTACCCTTCATCTGTCCTTCTTCACACTTCTACTCATCGAGTTTAGCAATGACTTGACGAGTTCTCCTTCTAAAACAACCTCGAATGAACCTTCATCCGACTCACCGAGTTGTATGAACAACTCGTCGAGTTCATCCTTGTCCTTCAAACAGTCCTGACCTTGACTCGCCGAGTTGTATGAACAACTCATCGAGTTCATATTCAAAAGTTGGGATATTGCCTTGCACTCGCCGAGTCTGCTCATGCACTCGTTGAATCCTATGAACTCCAGGTCTATGGCTAAGTCCAATGCGTTGGGTCACTCCCCTAGACCCTTCTAAGACCATTCTAACACTCATTGGGTTCCTTTGAACCCTAACAGAAAAGGGGAGTCAAGCCTCGGACTCACCGAGTCCCAAGAACAACTCGCCGACTCGAGGTTGTTCATGTCTCATTTCTCGATTTCTGATGTACAACACTTGTCCAAAAGATAGATCTGGAGTCTTAGCCTCAACCATGCTTGCATTCATAGTTCGTTACCAAAAATGGCTCCTTAAAGCCCTAATTTACTCCAAAAAGGGATCTAGAACATGAATGAGCAAGGTATAAACTTTTTACCTCCAAAGAACTGTAGATGCAGCACAAACTCAAGATCCTCTGATTTCCCCTTGGCTCTTCAAGCTTTTCCTTCCTTTTTGTGATCACAAACCACCAAAATCCACCAAAGAGGCCTTAGATCTTGACCAAAGACGATTAGGGTTTAATGTGAGGTGTTCTGAGAGCATAGGGAACGATGGAGGATGTATAAGGTTGTTTAAATACGGTGCAAACCCTCAGATTAGGGTTTTTTTCCAACCAGAGCCTACTCATCGAGTCTTGCCGCCGACTCGACGAGTCTGCCACTTAAACCCCAGGTCCATACCACTACTTCTCGACGAGTTGGGCCATCAACTCGCCGAGTCTCTGTCCAAAATGCGAAACAAATACTCAATGAACTACATACCAGGAACCGAGTGCTATAAATCTCCCCCACTTATTTTAGACTTCGTCCTTGAAGTCTGTTGCTCGTTCCTGGAAAAGCTCTGGGTAATGCTCCATCATCTCGTCCACCGGCTCCCACGTTCACTATGACCCCTTCCGGTGTTGCCATTGCACCTTCACCAGCTCGACCCTCTTATTCCTCAGATCCTTCGACTTCCGATCGAGGATCGCCACGGGTCGTTAAATGTAATTCAGGCTATTGTCAACCTGAATGTCCTCCAAGGGCACCACCGCCGAGTTGTCCACCAGATACTTCCACAGCTGGGAGACGTGGAAAGTGTTGTGGATCTGACTGAGTTCGGCTGGAAGATCTAGCCTGTACGCCACATTGCCCACCTGGGCTATAACCCTGAAAGGTCCAATGTACCTAGGGCCCAATTTTCCCCGCTTCCTGAACCGGATGATGCCTTTCCAAGGTGATACCTTCAGGAGAACCATATCCCCGACCTGGAATTCCACGTCTGAATGATGCTTGTCAGCATTGCTTTTCTGCCGACTTTGTGCAGTCTGGAGACTGCTCCTGACCTACTGAATCCTCTCTATCTTCTAAAGCACCACTTCGGTGCTCCCCATGACCCTCTGGCCAACCTCACCGCAAAATATCGGGGTCCTGCACTTTCTCTTGTATAACATCTCAAAGGGAGGATGATCGATACTCGCATGGTAGCTGTTGTTGTAGGAGAATTCATCCAATGGGAGGTAAGTGTCCCAGCTATCACTGAAGTCTAGCACACATGTCCGCAGCATATCCTCCAATGTCTGGATGGTCCGCTCGCTCTGACCATCCGTATGCAGGTGAAATGTGGTGCTTAAATGGAGACGAATACCCAACTCGTCGTCGAATTTCTTCCAGAACCTGGAAGTAAACCGCACATCCCTGTCCGAAATCACTAACATTGGCACCCCCGTGCCTCGCCACTAGGGGTGTTCAAAACCGGATATCCGAAAATTCGGATAGTTGATTATTGATATCCGAATCCGTATCCGAAATTTCGGATATGGATTCGGATATTAAATCCGAATTTCATTAGTTTTAAATAAAGAAAATAAACCCTCCAAGAACAAGAACGTTTCCGTGCATTTGTTAGGTATAATAAGACTTCATTTTGTCCGGTTAAATGCAAGTTACCTCATGATACCTGAAGATCTTGAGAAATCAAACTCAAATTACTAAAATCAACATAAAAAAGGTAACATTTATACCATCCTCACTTTGCGTACCAAGTAAAAATGTTAATAATTTGTCTTTTTGAATTTCAGATGAAAAAACCCTATGCATTAAAAC